ACTACCTGGAAGCCCTACAGGACAGCGACGTGCTTTTCGCTTCTGTACGGGCGTGAGCCTTCTCGCAGGCCGGCTCACGCACAATGGCATCTGTTGAGATGAACTGCTGGGCCAAACGTAACAAGCTTAAAGCTTGGGAGTTGGCAGACGGCCATCGTGTGCGGCTACCAGAAAGAGTTGATGACAATGCGGTGTACGCCTGTTCCCGAAAACCTATGAATGAGACATACAACAAGAAAGCAGTTACAAACAGGGGGGGGGGGGGGGGTGAAGTAGGCTGCGTATTTTTAAACGCCAAGGAGTCGAAGGCAAGCAATACCGGATGGTTTTTGAAGAGCGCGTGTTTAATGGGGAAGGTCATAGGCTAAAATATGCTTTCCGTATCCCCATAGGTGACCCGCTCAGTAGAACTTATTCAAAAATTTGGCGGCATGTTGGCTGACAACAAGGAAAATTGAGAAGGCTACGGAAATGAGCAACGAGGAGAGAAACACACAAAAAAAAAGGGGAGGGGGAGACAAAAGGCGGGGGGGATAGGTGGAATGTTAGGGTAAACAGACGGAAAAAAAGGGAGAAGAAAAAAAGCAGAGAGAGGAAAGACGCAGAGAACGTTTTGGGTTGGCAATGTCCTGTAACGATGCACGGTAGGAGTGGTTTTAAAAATAAAGAAAAGAGGAAACGAAGCAGTGATTTACCGGTTCTTTTAAATTAAAACTTTGCAGTTGTGTATACACACAATCGTATCTATAACTCAAATTGAAAAATTGAAGAGAACATTAATAGTACGATATGCGGGCTGAGAGCGATTCAATGTACTACTGGTTGTATCTATTTGGAGGTTGAACGTATCTTGTCTCTGTAAATATTGCCTCAATTATGCTATGGATTTCAGTGATTCCAAATTGCCACATGATACATTGATTTGTGATGGGTGTAGGGACTTAAATTTGTGTATCAAATATGATTCCATGTGTTTTCTCTCTCGTCGTGACCGGATATTAGTTTGTGGAATGTAAAGCTTAGCTTGGTCGAAATTGTGGTCCTGTTCGTTGAAGTGACCGGCTACTGCTTTTGGTAAATTGAGCTCTGTGTCTGCACGGTGGCCGTTCATTCTTAAGTGAATCGACTGCCCAGTTTCCCCTATGTATTGTTTTCTACAGGTGGCACACTCAAGACAGTATATTAGGTTGTTTGAAGTGCAGGTGAAGTTCGGTGTGACCTTGTGAATGTAATCAGATGCTGTGCTTTTTACGCTGGTAGCCGGCTGTATGTGTTTGCAGGTGGAGCATCTGGGCCGACCACAGGGACCACACGTTGTCCTACTCCTTGCTTTAAGTTTTGTGTGAACAAGCATGTCTTTAAGGTTAGCCTAGTGTCTGTAGGCGACTTTAGGCGGTTTGGGAAAGATTTTCTTAAGTTTCTGGTTGGTGGTTAGAATTGGATAGTATTTTGTGAGGATGTTGTTTATGTTAAGGAGTGCATTAGAAAGCTTTGTAGTGAAAAGAGGTGTAGTTGCTGTTGTTGTGCTTTTGGAGCGTCGTTTGAGTGCTTCATTGTGGTCCAGTTCCAGTGCGTCCGTATAGGCTTTGTCAAGGAATGTGTTAGGGTGGTTTCTGTTCGATAGTGTTCCTTTTAGGGCGGTTAGTCTGTTTACCTAGTCTTCGTTTTCTACGCATATGCAATGTAACCCTGCTGCCTGACTTTTGAAAGTGCCCTGTTTACAGTGTCTCGGGTGATGGCTTGTATAATCTAAGTATTGTTGCTCGTAAAATGGTTTTTTATATAGAGTTGTCTTTAGTACACCATTTTCAAGATAAATGGTCATGTCTAGAAAGTTGATGCGCTGAGCTGAGGTATCGGAGGTGAACTTTATTGTTGTATGAAATGAGTTTAGGAATGAGGTGAATTTATCTAGATTGTGCTGCCCATGCCTCTATATTATAATTATGTCATCTATGTACCGAAGGTATGTATGAGATTTATTCTCACAGTAAGACAGTAATTCGGTTTCCGGAATCCCATGAATATATTTGCATAGGTGGGAGCACATGGGTACCCATGCTTGTTCCCTGTATCTGAAGGTAGTAGTTTTCCTCGAATTCAAAGTGACAGTACTAATTCTAGTAGTGTTAAATATACTTCGGTACAATGTTGTGCGCTTTGTCGGGTAAGGTAAGCTCAACTGAAGCTAAGCCCTCGAGGACAGGAATGTTCGTATATAAAGCGGTAACATCTACTGTGACAAGAATGGCGTTTTGTGGTAGAGTACCATTCTTATTAATTTCCTCTATTATTCTCAGCAGGTGGGGTGTATCTTGCACAAATAACGGCAATGACTTTGGAATTACACCTAGAAAGTGGTTTAGAAATATGGAGAAGTTCTCAGTTGGGGTGTGGTTGTTTGATACTATTGGGCGCCCTGGAATATTAGTACCGTATTATTCTGTGGATGGTATTTTGTGAATTTTCGGAAGGAGATAGAACCGCCCCGCTGCTTTGCTGTTTGGTTTCAAGAATTTAAATTCTGATAGAGTTATCAGTTCATCTGCCAAAAAAGATCCAAGCCGGTTGGTAATTGCGTGTGTATTGCTCTGTTGGATCATTGTCTAATTTACGGTAGTGTTCGGGGTTGTTCAGTTGTCTGTAAGCTTCGTGCTTGTGCTTCTCTATTGGCAAGATCACTATGCTTCCACCCTTATCAGCCACCTTAATTATAATGTCTTCACGCGACTTGAGGTTAGAAATAATGTGGCTTTCTGAAGCAGTGAAGTTCTTAGGTTTCTTACCTGTTTAGATTGATTTATTATTTCCTACAGATCACGAATATTTCATTTTGGACCGGAGATGCTCCACTGCTGCGTAACTAGGTGGAATGGTGAACTTTTGTACGGTTCGTGCATGCTGCACTAGAATTAGTGTAGCTAGAGTTAGCATATGTCCACCCTGGGGAACTGTAGGGAGCATATACAGTAACTCTAGGCACCTAGGCACTGCAAGCTGGACAGTGACCGGAAAATGGCGCTGTTGGAGTGCGACTGGTAATAAACTGACAAAAGACATCTCGTCATAGTTCCGACCAGTCGAATTTTGCAACACATTGACGGAATCTTGAATGCGGAGAACATATTCCAGCTTTTACATTTGTTCAAGATTATGTGCATGCTCTGTTGAAAGTTCTGTTTTAATCATCAACTTTAATCCTAATGTTTCACGATGTGCAGCTTGCCAGCTTTGTTACTAAAAAGCCCACTAGTAAATCGGTGCATGCACTGATCAGCATGACATCCATGGCGTTTGAGCTCTGAACTGTTAGCAAGTTCTGTAAGGTTTGGGGCTCCTAATGACATGCGAAAATTGGAGTACACCTGAGCTGCCTCTTCAAAATTAGAGTGCGCTAGAATAAATGGGCACCATGCGCAACATTTTCAACCCCACCACAAAAAAAAAGAATGTTTGTGTGCACAACATTGGCCGTTTCAAAGTGTCATTGAATGCCTATTGCAAGCACAGTTCTTAAGCACCCACTATGCCATAATTCCTTTTACAAATTTCCGTAGTACCCTCTACAAGTTCAAGCCTAGATGCACTTTGTAGGGGGTGGGCCGCATTAAACCACCCACTTGTAGAGCGATTCACATGCTTTGATGCCTGGTGGGATTCTATTATAATGCCATGAAATATTATATGCATTAAGGAGACCCTTTCTATGACATGAGATTCTTGTATCTATTTTTACAAAGCAGTTTCAAGCTCTGGCACGGATTCGTCGTAGATGACTTGCTTGACATGCAGAAAGCTTGGGTTCGATTCAAACTCGGACAGTCAATTTTTAAATTCGAAGCAGCTTATGAACGAGGCCTGTCCCCTCCTAGTCCAGCGTGCCCCGCTTGTACTCAGAGCACCCGCTAAAGGTGCAGCAGTAGCAGCGCTCTCTCTCTCCCCTAATGCTCGCTCGACTGCGATGCGTACTCTAGTTTGACAGGAGGCCGCTGGAGGGTCACAACTATAAACCGCACTCGCTGCGTTCTCTCTCTTCCAACAGTCGTCAGTCGGTGTGCTTTGACAGCATGAATGAAGACAAGCTGGCGCAGCCGAGGGCTCACAAAGTGGCAGCAGCGCGTGGTCTTGCCTTCAAGCGACCGAGAGCTGAGAGCTCAAGAAGCGGCCGCGAAATGGCAGCGTTTGCAGGTGAACCCGGAGACAGTGAGGTCTCGCAAAGCTGCGGCGAAACGGGCACGTTGACAAGGCGATCTGGAGTTGTGGGCTCGCGAAGCTGTTGCGAAGAAGGCTCGTGCGGACCTGAAGGCGATTAGCAGGGGTACCTTTGTGGTCTATAAAAATTATTAATACAAAATAAAAGATTTACATAACTTTAAAATAAATCTATCGCTGCTTTGCATACTACTCCGGCTTCACTTTAGCGATAGATAAGTGTGATTTTTTATTAATAATTGATCTGTATCTGCCTCGAATTCGTGGCATGCTCACGGCTTTGTGACAAAATTCCGAACACGATGCGCATGTCAACTTGATATGTTTCAAAAAACATAGGAGGTGAAATAGTGGTGCTTTAAAACAACTGTTCTTCAGCCACTTTACCTAAATATGACTATTGCGTTACAATGATAACAGCATGAAGTGAATCCAGTCCTAATGATGTTTTTGAGTAATATCAGCTATCGACCAATGGCAGCCATCAGCTAAATAAATAAATAGAGTAATTGCCAACAGCTGAAAAGAAAAAGTGAGAACGACCCCTTCTTTGAAGAGAAAGAAAGTGGCAAACTAGTGCTTCGCTTGCGAGCTCTACAATGGCTACAAAATTTGGCTGGGCTGTTCGTAGCAGAGTTTGCTATCTGTGAAATGTTTTTTTATCGTCTACTTACTTCACGCACCGTCCGGAAGTCTGCACCAGCTTCAATCATACTGGTGATGATCCACTCTAAATAATGACTCCATGGCCAGTATGAAGAGCCATTAAAGAATGAGAGGAACAACAATGAGTAATTCATTATCTTTTAATTAACAATTCATTATTTAGTGAAAGATATTTACCCGTAGGTTCTTTTGGTGTGATCATTCTTTCTGAAAAAAACAACAACAAAAAGGTAGATTGGTAAGTCGGCGCATATTATGATAATTGTGTCTTGTAAGTTGTGGAAAAGTGCAGCATCTACCTGCTCCGCAATAAATATTTTTCTATATGCCCAATGTGACAAAAATAGCTTATATTCAACGAGTTTGACAAACTTACGGGCGTTAAAATTCTCTTGTTGGAGCACAAGATGCAGATGCACAGGATGTGCTGTGGCACGTGAAACATGGTGCTAATTATTAATTAACATGCCCAACTTGAACAAGATCTACCTAGCTGTAACCAATTTATATTTGGGAAAGATATTGTCACATCATAACAAATTTCGTTATGCCAACGTGTATGTGTTCCCAGAAGATGACACATATGATAGCATAAATAAGATTTGTCATGCATTATTTTCCATGCTGGCACAATCGATGGAAAGCTGATGTCTTATGCAGTCTGCTTGATAGTTGGCATTCCAGTACAGTCGCCGACCGATTTTTCGGACCTGGCGGGGACCGAAAAAAAGTACGAAAAATCGAACAGTCCGAAAAATTCGTTTTTGCCAAAAATCTGAAGTTTATTGCATCAGGCAGGTTTAAAAAAGTCCTTGATGCTGCCTTGCCTCAAACTACGCTTGGAGGCAATTTGGTTTGCCTGTATTTGCGCCAAGGTGACATCGTCGCTGTAAACGCTCGACAAAATTGTCACCGCGTTGGCGATCTCCGACGGCTGCGGGCGGTCGTCGTTGTCATCCGACGACAACGACGACCGCCATCCGGCGTCGACCGTCATCCAGCGACATCTAGCTGCGAACGTCCACTCTCTATTAGCTTGATTATGGCAGCTTTCTTCCCCATCGTCAGGGTCGTATACTTCTCACGCTTCTTCACACCACCTGGCTCCCGCGATGGCACAGATAGCGGAGCCATGGCACCGAGAACACAAAATTCAATGCCGCAGATAGCCGCTGCGAAGCACACGTCTCGACGCTACGCGACACAACACGTGCAGAATGGCGACTGAAAAAAGCTGCAACGACAATAAAAGAATCCTTCTTTCACCTCCTCCCCGTGCGATGTGATGACGATAGCGCTGACCGAAGACGAAAAAACAGCATCCATCACCGCGTCTTTTAAAAAGCAAACACGGCCTCCAAAACTTAAAATATGGCGTGCGCATTCCAATCTCGGAGGCAGGAAAAACATTTGAAGACCAAGCTTAGCCAAGCCGACGGAAAATCCAACATGGCGGCGTTCACAATGACTTGGGGCGTGGCACAAAACGAGCGATTTAGTCCGAAAAATCGAACTTTCAGGGGCAAATTCGCCCGAAAAATCGGTCGAAACAATGCATTAGCTCTATGGAATCCCTGACGGTGCATTTATAAAGTCCGGAATATCCAACAAGTCCGAATTTTTGGAGTCCGGAAAATCGGTCGGCGACTGTATACTATTGCCCACAGTCTTGCCCAAGACGATGCATAGAAGTGGATTCACTGTTGGGCAGTGCTTTTATGTTTTTTTGTCCCGAGGTCTCCAGCTATAACATGAATGTGATGCATAAGCATTTCGTTAAACTAGAACTGCTGGTGAAAATTGCTTTTAAGAAGACGAGATGCTCACAAACAGACAAAAAATAATTTAATGGGGTTCATTCAAATACAGATTAGGTAGTGAAAATAACGTTTGCTCCATTGCAGGTTTCGCTGAATCTGGGGGTTGGCTATTTGAAGATTCAGCAAAATTGGCATTTTTGCGCTTTACTCGGTACATGCCCAGCAGTAGTGACAAAAAAAAGCAAGTTAGTCTGTTCTCGGTGCATGTTAAAGAACTACAGGTGACAAACACTAGATTATACAGTTAGCCACCACAGGCCCTCTGTAGAATGTTTGCTTGATGACCGAGATCACACCACAGAGTTATAATGCCATATACAAAACTAGTGATACAGGCACAGCCAAGCAGTTTCACTGACGCAAAAAGAAAGAAATGTGCATAGCACTCACCTGTACAAAAATGCCTATGCAAGCAGCCTCATTCAATACGACGCACGATCAACTATCCTTTCCTGAAAGGTAAGGTCAGGAATTAATTTTTCTAACACTGAGCAACCTAATCAAGCATCGCAACGACGTTACCGCGCCTATAGAACTTGGGTCACCGGTGACCCATAAGCGCCGCGCGAAAATTTAAAAATACCGGCGCTCCTATGGACTAGCTGCGCCATCCAGCGCATTTTCTAAGCACTAATCTTCCATTTCCTGTGTAGTTTGTTTTTTTTCCGCGCGGCGGCGATTTTTATCGCCGGTTCAAAGTGCGCAGTTCGCTTGTTTTGTTTACGAAGATGGCTGACGATCTGGCCGCCGGACCCTCGCGTGAACGACGTCTTTCTGGCAATTCTGTCGCATCTGCAATTGATTATTCTGCTGTTTCTAGCAGCAGTGACTCTGAGGATAATATCGGATCGTCAGATTTTAGTTCTGACGATGGAGATTCGCAAAACCTGCCCGGATCGTCGTCAGCTGTTCGGCGGTAAGTTTAGTTTTTTAGCACGTCTCAGGTTACAGATTTTTTTAGGCCGCTTGAGATGTCGTAAGGATGTTGGCAATATTATATCTCTTATTTACAGTGTCTCTACAGTATATGGTGGAGATCTGCTGCCATCAGCCCAGCAGAGAGTGGCGTTTAGCCCAAGAAGAGAACCAGGCCTTGACCTCGGAATGGTGCTGCGCAGTGAAGCAAAGCGGCTCACAAAAGCGATCGACGTTTTTGTGATGTTTTTCACAGCGGAGGTAGTAAATAGGATTTGTGTGAACACAAATAAATATGCGTGGACGCAAATCCTGAAGAAGCAGTCCTATGCCGAGGCTGATGGTTCGTGGAAAGAAGTGACGGCCGCGGAGATGATGAAATTCATTGGCCTGCTGATCTATATGGGCATCGTCGAGCTGCCACGGCTACATCTCTACTGGAGCAGAGGCTCCTTGTTTCCGGGTTTCGTTCCTCCCAAAATAATGTCGAGAACGCGTTTTTTTGCTCTTCTGGGTATGATCCATGTCTCGGACCCTGACGAAGAAAGCGGACGAAAGTTGGATAAAATTTCTTGGCTGCTTGAGCACATGAATGAGCATTCAGCGAAATTTTTCCAGCCACGGAAAAGCCTTTCGGTGGATGAAAGGATGGTAAAGTCGAAAGCACGATCGGGAATTCGCCAATATATCAAGGACAAAGTTGTGAAGTGGGGTTATAAGTTGTGGGTGCTTGCTGACCCTCAGACAGGCTACACCATACAATTTTATGTGTACACGGGCAAGCGAGAGAAAGCAAGCGCCAATGGCCTAGCTTTTGACGTCGTTACAAAGCTGTGCGAGCCATATCTGGACCAGGGCTACCATATCTATATGGACAATTTTTACACATCCACAGCTCTGTTCCTGCATTTGCTGAAAAGGTGTACGCTGGCTTGCGGCACAACAAGGAAGGATCGCCGTGGATTTCCGCAACAGATGAAAGACAGCAGCTGGGAGAAGAAGGCTGAAAGAGGAAACATTCGTTGGTTGAGAGAAAGTGGCGTTTTGTACCTGCAGTGGAAGGATCGGCGAGTAGTGAACATGATGAGCACCATCCATACAGCCAACAACCATGTGATTGCAAAGCGTCGGGTGAAAAAAGATGGGAAGTGGCAGGAAATATCTGTGCAAAAGCCAAAGCTCGTTGATGAATACAATGCTGGTATGCTTGGCGTCGACAAGTCCGACCAAATGATTGCGTCGTATAACGTGCTCATCAAATGCGTCCGATGGTGGAAAACTCTGTTTTTCCACTCAGTTGACATTGCTTGTGTCAACAGCTATGTCATTTTTCAAGCTCATCGCCAGCAGCATGCCGGAGCATCTGAGCTGCTAAGACCATCAAACTTTGACCAGCTGGCTTTCCGAATGGAGCTCGCCCAGCAACTTCTCGATCTTGAGGAGAGGCCACAGGTTCGCACACCTCCTCAAACCAGGTCCACCCAGCACAAGCCATATAGATTGGAGAAGCGGAGAAGATGCAAGAAGTGCTATGAGGACAACAAACTAGACCATAAAACAAATGTCATCTGCAAAACCTGCAATGTTTGCTTGTGCTTCACTACAGCCAGAAACTGTTTTGCCCAGTACCACGCCAACCTTAGGAATTGAATTTTTTCACAACTTAGAGCTTTGAGATAGGTTCTAGAGCTTGTGGCTACTATTAGACATTGTAATGTGAAGCTATATTTGTTGATTACACATTTACAACTTTTTTTTATGGTAAAGGCATACCTTACGCTGTTTTGGTGCAGTGTTCAGAGTTATGTTTCGTGTTTGAGATTTTTTTCCCGAGTTCCTATTCAGCACAATTTTTTAAAATGCCCATGGTTCAACAGCTCATTTATCTATTTATTTAGTAACATTCATTGCATTGTTCTGTTTGAAAAATTTGTAGAGGAAAAAAATATAATTGTGGTACTAGATGGAACAAGGCAGTTTCCACTAGGCAGAAAAAAAAATTTGTAACTCATATGATTTATGACCTAGGCAGCTCAAACTTTCTTCTTTTATAGACCATTGATTTGAAAGCATTTTGTATATTTCAGATTATTTTTCTTTTTTTCTGATTTTGTGTTATAAGCACCGAATTAGAAATGTTCTATGCAATTTTCAATAAATCTTGTTTTTCAAGAATATTATTACTTGTTACCCCCAAATATTTCTTTTTAAAAGTAATATCATTAGAAAGTACGTTTATTTAGCTTTCTATTGATATATAGCATGGCACTGTAACAATGATAATGTCTACTACAAAAAATAATTACAAAAACCTACAAAAAGTGGCACATTTTCCCACGGTAACGAAAGAGTTAAAACATTGAAGCATCTCTACCCTCTCGCCAGTGGCAAGTAATCATTTGAAAAGTAAGACTTCATCACCAGAGATCACGTCAGCACTGTATCAGGACCGCATCAGCCCTGATGTGAGCCCGGGCAGACTTATTGTGCTGAAAGCTCTACAGTAGCCCGTAAGGTCACTAGTTTGATGGTTTCCCAGGGGAAGCGACAGGATTTTTTTTACAACGATGGAACCTACCCTTCGACAAGTAAGTTTCAATAGGGGGGGGGGGGGGGGAGGCACGAAGGCGAGTAACTCATGCATTCTGTTTTGGCTACGTTTGCTCTTGGGACGCAGGGGAAAATTTTGGGGGGGCTTCAGGCACCACCACCATGCCTCCAACTAGCATTGCCCTTGTGATTATCCCATCAACCAATGGTCGGTCACAGAGTCTCCAAGAGAGGTCATGACAGCCGGACTTCAGGAAGCCTTTGTAGCATGATAATCGTGTTGCACTCGGTGTATTGACACTTAAGAAAACTATTTCGTACCAATCATTGCATACTGATCAAATAAATGAATTGCTTTTATGAGACTTTATCTTGCCTCTTCACGGATGGACCCTGTATACTTGTGAGAACATTATGACTAGACATGTGCAAATATTAAGAACTTTGGATATTCGAACGAATATTACAGTATTCAAATTCGCTTCAACATGAATTTAAAATATCTTTATTTTAATGAACGAATAGGCATATATCAACTGCATGTAACCCCTTGCAAAGATGATTTCACTCAAGTAAATAAGCGCTGTACCAAGAATATGCCTATCCGAGATAAATCTGTAATGCTGCAAGGCCACACTTCGAGGTTAAATGAAATTAGTATTACTATCACACCGATTCATCCCTTTTAAAGGTGGAAAGCTTGTGTACAAACTTAAGTGCTCTAAATACAGTAAATCTTAAAACGTAATATATTTTACAAGTTATCACTTGCATTCTACTGACAGTCTAATACTGCTACTATTTAATGTTGCTTCCATTTTCCTCTAAGCAACAATAAAAAAGATGTTTGCCTATGACTCGTTCTTGATTAAAACGATTGTACATGTTAGTTAAGTCATGACAAATATGCTCATTATTCTTTATAACATGTGACATGTACTATTAAAATTTGTTTTAAAATAACTTGACCAAGTCACTATTCGTTTTGAATTAAAAGCTAATATTTACTACTTGAACATGCTTAACTGTGGCCAATTATCAAACTGATTTCACGTACCTCAACAGATTAATCTTTTAGTAGAGATGAAAATTTAAAACCGATGTGCGTTTTGCCGCATAACCACAGGGCATCCCTCCTCACCCCCAGATGACCTGGCCCATACTTTCTGCGTAGCAGATGCTAAAGACAAGTTGGCAAATGTGCTGCATGGCTTAACGAATAAATATTATGAAAAAGATAGCATTCAATTTTGTAGTGGAGTACAGTTATGAACGATCGTGAAATATACTTCGATACCATAGTTGAAATATTTAGACCAGACGGCCAGGTACATTGAAAGTGTTACCTTCGCACAAGTTTATGTGGCATACAGGCCGAGACACGCCCACGCATCAGGGCAAGTTTGGCAAACGAGACCAGCTACACACTCACCTTGAGACCAACCCAGGAGTCAATGAGCTGCAATCCGAGGCTGCGGGCAGCTACCACTGGCAGCAGGTTGAAACGATACAGCCCGACCAGGGCCTCGATGGCCAGTAAGAAGGGCACCGTGTGCCGTTGGCGCAATGTCTCATACCGCAAGAGCGTGTCGAAGCTCACTGCAAGATGAAGCAAAACTTGCAAAGCAATCGCGGAAGTAGCAAGAATAACGCACGCTTACAAAAACACTAGTCCAATTTGGAGGCTGAAAACTTGGCATTTGTGGGCAAGTTATGGAGTTTCCAGAGATGAGGTATACTAGTTAATTACAGAAATTTATGAACCACATTAGGCCAAGAGGCCACATGCTCAGGTGAAAGCTAGCACTGCACCAAAGGTGCATCACTACCTTTGATTGATGGCCTGGATGTTTTTTCACTGGGCACGAATATTTAGCACCTTTTCCTTCCCAGCACGACACACTGTCCGACAGTTGTTGCTTCGTGCTTCCATCTCAGGAGCAGTCTATAGGCATTGCTCTTGACAGTCGCAATCTGTCTCACAAAGTGACATCCACATACCTGCCATGTTGAAAGATTCTGAATCCGGAAGATTTCAGCAACAGTCACGCTGAATTATTAGCCCCCTTTTTTTTTCGGCACCAAAAGAAAAAAAAAACATTGCGAAGCACAAAAAACAAGAGAGATCTTATAATGGCTTGCAGTGGCAAAAAACATGAGGGCAGGGCTTCCGACTAAGGTGAGAGTCTCAAAGGGGGAACACAAATACTCCCAAAATTTCTCATCATCAAAACAACTAGCAAAATCTCTTTAAAGGAGCACTGACATCAAATTTACTCATGCCGAGTTTTTGCGTCAGTGAGTAGCTATAGACCCCGTAGCAGCAATTCGCGACCTAAAATGCAACTGAGGGATGAATAACTATTACTTTTATTGATTCATATTACTGGGATCTAGCACTATTCAAAAACGGCCGGCAATCCCTCCATTTCTAGCGCTGGGAGCACCAGCAGTGGCGCTACCTCGCGGTCACCTCCACATCACGCCACAGTTGACCACTTCTTCACAGAAAAGAGTGACGTCAGGCTCAGTTGCTCTGCAAACATTTCGTCTGCTAGGCGGACACAGTCAGGCACGCCTAGTCACCTGCATTGCTGTCGTCGCCGTACAAAGTGTCGACTCGGGTTCAATACGATAGTCTGGAGTTTGGAATCCCTGCAATTCGTGACGTCATGAATTATTTTTGCTTCTATCGACCTTTTGCAGAACAGCGATTCCGAAATGGACGCCGTTCCAAGCAGCACTGCAGAGGTGCTTGAGGATGCACGCTTCAGCCATGTTCGCTCGTGTGTCTCAGTTGGCTATATTGGTGTATTTTGGCGTGCAAAGCATTCAGGTATACGCAGAGGGGTCAATGCAATATAGCTATCACGAATGAGCATCAGCGGAGAAATAGAATACATTTCCTGCTTGTCAGGTTCTTTTTCTCACCTTCAGATGGCCCCGCCTGTCCAGCCTCTCGTGGTTAACACTGTATTACCACTTTTACCTGGACGCAAAGCCTACAGATGAACTAAAATTCAACAATACCTGCGTGTTACTTGTTAGCGATGATATCGGACTACACGCTCTTCCATTTTTCACAGCTTGTGGTCGTGTTGATGTGTAACACGTACGTGATATAAAAAGACACTCTCATTGCGCTTTTTCCATGCTTTGAACTAGACGACTGCAACTCACGATTCCCCGACATGTTGACTGACAAGCACACGTTTAATCATGCTCTTTTCTTTCACAATTCTTTGAAAGGCGGTTTTTATCTTGATAATTTCACGAAATCATTCAAACTGGTGCGATGAAGAACAGACGCGATGAGCCACGGACAGGCTAGACTGCACCTGCGCGTGCTAGCCCGGCCGTGGACGAGCGAGTGCGTTTCTGCACTTTGGCGCCAGTTGGCGCCACGATAAGAGCACTCGGATCGTACACGTCATCGCTACTACGGCATCGTCACTCAAGATGGTATTCGTGGAATGTATCACACTGAACACGTAGCACTAGTGTCGATGCCGCAGGGCAATCTATTTTTCGTTTTTTCTCCTTAGCTGTTCTACGCTGTTTGACATCGAATTAAAATAACTTCCATGCGATGGATGCCGTTCCAATTCGGCCAAGAAGACCTATGCATACCAAGTGATCGAATGATGGGCACATCTTGATCTTGAAATTTGATGTCAGTACTCCTTTAAACAACTCGCCTATGTCATTCTGGGACACACATGAACGAACAGGATGGAGCAGCTGGCTGTCGCTAAAGCACGGGTAAGAGCTTTGGTCTCTACTAGATTCTTTGGGCAGAAATGCCAAAACACTCCTTGCTTTTTTTTTTGTGTCTTTACAGCCTTTAATCTACCGCTCCATTTATCGCTTGCCCTCAGGGCTCGTAGATCGCTATCGCGTCACTACGACCTCGGTTTTGCGTGTCTGGGTTGTCAGTTACGTCGTTGCCATTCATGATCGTGTCAGGTATGACCGCTGTTTCGTACAAAGCAGTTGTGGCAATGACAACCACCCGCACTGTAGAAGACAATGCATGCGCTAGTGGCACACATACTTTCGAAGCTTTGAGCACAATGCTCTTAGCCTTCGTTCGATGGTTTGGGTACTAAAGTTCATACCACCTGCCGCGATTAGGAAAAGTGTTCGGAATATTCGAATTTCGCTCAATGACCACCGTGGAACTTGGCTGGGGAATTTAAAAAAATAGCATCTGCCAAGATTTCACATCAGAGATTCTACTGTGCATTTGGATGAACATCTCCTCAATTCGTTTATAATAAAATGCGGTGGGTTCACAAAAAAACCTGGATCAGACTGACCTGCATTTTTGTCAATGCGGCCAGATTACACAGAGAAATTTGGATTTCCGAGAAATGTTCATGACAACCGTACAAACAGAAGAAACATTCGAAATCCGGGAGTCTCCTGGACAATCTGAGGTACTTGGCAGGTATGCATCTATAAAGTGCGACACTATTCTAGACAAGCCATAATAGCTGTGATTCTGCTATCAAGGTAGAGATGTGATGGTAATACTTCAGATGAATACTTTGCGTAAAAAAAAAAAGGCACTGTGCAGCATTAACAAATCATTATACCTGTGAATAACCAAGACAACACATTTCCAGCCAAGCACTGCAGTTGACAAAAGGTGGCGCACCACTAGGTGGTGCAGACAAGCTGTTCAGCACGCGTTTGCATAGTCGCCAAACTTTTGTGGTTGACTGTATCATCCTTACGGTTATAAAGAACAAGTCGGTTATATTAGCCTATGGGCGGTAAGGCAGACAATAAGGATTGACGTGTGGGCAGTCTATGTGGCGAGCTGCCATCCTTGAATTGTTGGGTTGACTAAAGAGGGCCAGAGAAGCGCGAACAGGGACCAGGCTAATGAAAATCCATGGTGTTTAGGGTGTGTTTAAGCCACACAGCATATGTAACAACAGTGATATACTATGATAACAGCTTGTAATAATATCATAAAACCATTTTATTTTTCGTTGCTTGCCCGTAAAACCCACTGGTGCTTGGACAGTCGATGACTTGATAAGCATAAGATGTAAGACACAATACTTAATCATAATTACACGTAATGTGTAAAAAGGGATACGAAGGTTATTGCAAAGCTCCTTTGAAGGTCCAGGTGCATTTTGAAAAACAGCATAAATATTCGTTTTACAACCATCGCTTTCTTTGCACGCCCCATACCAAATATCAAAGCCTCACAATTAGGCATAAAAAATAAGAAATGAGCAAAAAGCATGCACATTATTAGGAAAATGGCACGTCAGAACAATGAAAAGACATTCACCACGCGAACACGATGTATACGGCAAGGCTACTGCATCACGACTGCGCATCGGACATGCGCAGATACTCACGGCGCGCCATCGTGCGCCTATATAATCAGTGACTGAATAAACCGATGCCACTTCTTGTTCTGGCCATCATGCTGTATCGTCGTCCTTGCTAGTTACATGGTGTCAGAAGTGGCCACCGCGGACCGAAGCATGGCAGCAACGGCGCGGAATCGCCATGGACCTACTGAAGCCGCCGGAGCCATTGCGCCTATTGGGCAACTTGTCTGAAAATTGGAAGCGCTTCAAGCAAAGGTTCGAGCTTTTTCTGCAAGCAACGGCAGCCGAGAAGTCCCCGAGAAGTGACTCCTCGAAAGTGGCGCTCTTGCTGAGCTTCGCGGGAGACGAAGTGCTCGACATCTTCAACAACTTTCAGTACGGCCCCGGAGAAAGCAAGGAATGTTACGACACGGTCGTGCGGAAGTTCGACGCCTACTTCTTCGAGGTGAGCAATGAAATTCACGAAAGATATGTTTTTCGTACACGAAGCCAGGCGGAGAAAGAACCTTTTGAGAAGTTTGTGCGGTACTTAAATAGCGACACAGTGCAACTTTGGGGATCAGCACGATTCACTGATTAGAGACCAAATTGTGTTTGGTACGAACGACCCAAAGCTGCGTGAAAGAATGCTTGCCGAGAGAGGCCTGACGCTACTAAAAGCCGAGGAAATGTGTAAAGCGGCAGAAGCAGCGGCACTAAGGAGCCTAGTTTGGAATAGGACAGAAGACAGCATTGACGCAGTTTCAAGTGGGGAAACGGTGACGAAAAAACGGCAGCAGCGGAAAAAAAAGCAGAGTCGCGATAATCAAGATATTTGCTGCAGGAAGTGCAATCGCAAACATAAACCTAAGCAATGCCCCGCGTATGGTAAATTATGTCATTCTTGCCACAAATACAACCACTTTGCAAGTTGTTGCCAGAAGTCTACCGCTGTTAGCGAAGCAGCTAATCTCGTTGAGAATGACTTTGAGACTCTCGAAATCGGCTCCGAAAATTGTCGCAAGAAAGACTGGACAATCAAGGCTCGAGTAAATGGCAGAGAAGTGACGTTCGAAGTGGACACCGGTTCGCAGGCAAGCTTACTTCCATTTACAATGTACCGTAAGCTTGGATCCAAAGAAGCGTTGCAACCTACCGGGTCAGTGTTGCGCGCCTACAACGGTATTTCAAGTTATGGAACAACGTCACAGAAAGTCTGTCGGAACCACCGAGATAAGCGTGAAATTCTTCATTGTAAAGAATGGGCGCCAAGCCATCCTTGGGCTCGATGCCAGTGAAGCGCTTGGATTGGTTCGACGTACGGTGGACGCTGTCAATGCCTCGTCTGAGTATGATCTTTTGAAAGATTTCAGGCACCTGTTCCAAGGGCTCGGCTGCTTGAAAACGCAGTACAGAATGGTCCTGGATCCAGACGCGGTTCCGGTCGTTCAGCCTGCTCGCCGGGTTCCACTTGCACTTCAGGAACCTCTGAAGAAGGAACTACAGCGAATGATCCGGGGGGGCATCATCGTCAAAGAAAATGAGCCAACCGACTGGGTAAGCCCTCTGGTACTGGTGAAAAAAAAAAGACGGTGCTCTAAGGGTTTGCATGGACCCCAGGAGAGTGAACAAGTATATCAAGAGGCAGCATTTCCCTTTACCCAGACGCGAGGACTTGGAAGCACGGCTAACCGGTGCTACTTATTTTAGCTGTTTGGATGCAAACGCCGGCTTTCATCAGGTGCCCTTAGACAAGACAACATCAAAGATCTGTACGTTCTCGTCGCCTTTTGGCAGATACCGTTTTCTAAGGCTACCCTTTGGCATCTCATCTGCACCCGAGGTGTTTCAGCAGGCACTTTGTCAGGTATTTGACGGTCTGCCAGGCGTGCTCATATATATAGATGATATCCTGGTCTAAGGCTCAACGAAGGAAGAGCATGATGAGCGCCTGGTAGCAGTCCTCAAAACTGCTGAAACAGCTGGATTAACGTTTAATCTGCACAAGTGCAAGTTTGGCATAAAAGAGCTACGGTTTCTGGGTGATATCATAAGTGCGAACGGCATATCCCCAAATCCAGGGCTCGTAAAAAGTTTGGTTCAAATGCCAGTGCCAACATGCAAGGCCGATGTTCAACGTATGCTTGGTGTGTTGAACTACTTTGGAAAGTTCGTGCCGCAGCTATCTGAAAGAACGGCCCTGTTAAAAACTCTTATCAAGGCCAGTTCTGAGTTTGAGTGGACAGAAAACCACGCCAAAGAGTGGAAAAGCGTCACGCGAATTCTGACCACCGCTCCCGTGCTCGCAATATTTGACCCACGACGGGAAACAAAGTTGTCTTGCGATGCATCGAAGGACGGCGTCGGTGCCGCTCTTCTGCAACGTCACAATAACGAGTGGCGGCCCGCAGCTTACGCATCTCGAGTACTGATTAAGGCAGAAAAACTGTACGCACAGATAGAAAAGGAGGCCCTAGGAATTTGCTTTGGATGCGAACAATTTCACCGGTTCGTCTACGGCCAGAAAGTCACAATTGAAACGGAGCACAAGCCACTCTTGTCAATTGCTCAAAAGGAAATTAGTGACATGCCACCTCGCCTTCAACGGTTGTTTTTGAGGTTGTTCAAGTATGATTTTGTTTTGCAGTATATTCCTGGGAAGCACCTTGTTCTCGCTGACATGTTGTCCCGGTCAACTGCTGAAAACCAAGACGACGCTGGTGCTACTACCGACGTATAAGTTCACGCAATCCAGCTTCTAGATTACCGTGTCACAGAAGCAACGCAGAAAGAACTGCAAGCGGCAACGGCTCGTGACCGCTACCTACAGTCGGTGATCGCAAGTTTGTCGGTGGGGCTTCCAGTACAAGGTGAGCTAAAGCCTTTTGAGCAAGAACTCTCATTTGTCAACAGAATACTTTTAAAGCCGTCGAAGGTTGTTATTCCGAAAAGCATGCGAAAAACTATGCTTGAAAAAATCCATGCAGGTCACCTCGGCATGCAAAAATGCAAAGAAAGGGCCAGACGCCTCGTGTTTTGGCCGGGGCTTAACGCTGAGATTGCTTCCATGGTGCAACTTTGTCCTACATGCCGCAAGTATGCTTACAAACAGCCCAAGGAACCGCTTCAAATGCGGCCCGTGCCAGGTTGTGCATGGCATAGAAATGGAGCTGATATTTTTTCGTTTGCGGGGGACTCGTACATCGTTGTCTTTGACGCCTTATCAAACTTTCCGGAAGTTCAGAAACTACCTGACATGTCGGCGCAATCTACCATCGCAGCACTGAGCTCTATTTTTGCCAGATTTGGCGTGCCCGTCGAAGTACGCACTGATAAGGGCCCACAATTTTCCAGCCATGAATTTTTTTTGTTTTCAAGGAGGTACGACTTCACGCACGTCACTTCAAGCCCTCATTATCCGCAGTCAAACGGGCTTGCGGAAAAAGGTGTGCAGGTTGTGAAGCGCATCTTAAAGAAAACTGCAGATTCGGGCGACGACTTCTGGCTGGGTCTGCTGGCCTACCGCTCTACCCCGCTGGAGGACGGGCGATCCCCTGGTGAACTACTGCAAGGAAGGCGCCTTCGCGCCAACCTCCCGGACTTCAGTACGGTGATTGCAACCGACGTCAAAAAGCACAGCCAGGCCCAAGGGGGAAGACCTTTGCCTCCTCTGCAGAAGGGTGATGTCGTGAGGCTCAGAGACGCTGCATGGTCCCGGAAAGCTCAAGTGGTGGGTTCGCCATATCCAAGGTCCTACCTTGTCAAAACAGAGGACCAGAAGCTGTTAAGGCACAACCGTCGTCACCTACTTCAAGCTGGCGAACGGTTCATCGAGGAAAGCGACGATGACATTGATACCAGCTCAGCGGACAACGTTGGTGGCCATCCGACAGTGGCAACTTCAACCTTGCCAGCCAATGGCCGACGTCGCGAAGTTCCGACGTCGGGCGACCCTTCACCACCTGTGGTGCGTCAGTCAACTTCACCACCGACGCCAGCTTTGAGAAGGTCGACTCGAACCGTGAAGCCACCACAGCGTCTTCATTATGACAAGGACTTTAACCAAGTGTATGATATCATTTTTTGAAATGCCATGTACTTACCACTGTTTTGGTGGGCATGTAATTTCGTTGTTAACAGAAAGGCTGTATCCGGCAAGGCTACTGCATCACGACTGCGCATCGGACATGCGCAGATACTCACGGCGCGCTATCGTGCGCCTATATAATCAGTGACAGAATAAACCGATGCCACTTCTTGTTCTGGCCATCATGCTGTATCGTCGTCCTTGCTAGTTACACACGAGAGCTTGTGTTTGAGTGGAAAAAGCTGTTTTGATTTCCTGTAGCGCTGTTCTCTTAATAATGCCCCTCGTATCAACTAGCGCTACCGTCAGCCCCACTGGACACAGGTTCACTGAAAGCTTTGTACTGTGATCCAACGATACGGTGCAGTCGAGACGTGAACATACGAGCTTTGTCAATGAGAGAAGCTCAGCTGACGCATCTTTTCGAACAAAACCAACTTGTACTCTTCCGCTACAAACTAGAGAAAAAATTAATAAATAAAGATTGCCGCAAACACCCAAACCTCATTATAACGAAGTTGCATCCTACATAAAAATCAGTTTGTTATATCTGAAATTTTTTCACAAAGTACTATATTCCTAACACTAACTCTATTACAAGACTATCAATTTACTTTGTTATAACCGACATTTTGTTATATCCTAGTTCATTATATTGAGGTTTGAGTGCATTACTGCTGCCGCCTTCATTGTATTACCGCAAAGCAGCGTCGAGAAGCAACCTTCTCAAAGACTAAATTGACGAATAATTCTCGCCTCGACTTTACCTACAAGTTCTTTGCATATATTGTTCGGGTCATAAGCGAGAAAATCTGGTGATGTGAACATTGCACATGTAATCTTCCTTGCCATAACGTCGATAACTCACCTACTGGCTCTCCATTGTACACAGACTCGACCAATAGCTGAGCCAGTTCCTGGGCATCCCCAAAGCCGAGGTTTGCACCCTGTCCGGCCATAGGGTGTACTCGATGGGCAGCGTCACTGCATCAGTGTTGCAGAGAATAAAAAGAAAGATATCAAGTGCTGCATAAAAGCAGGAGTAACTTCCTGACAGGTCTGTCTAAGTAATTCTTCTCTATGTTCTGGCCATTGAAAGAACAATAGTTAAAAGATGCAAATCAGTTTAGACTGACTGACATAAATAAGAGCTTGTGTGGGGGCTAGTTGGAACATACTGCATGAAAAGGCAATGCTGCAAAGCTAAGAACACAAAAAACAGGGGCGGCACAGACGAGGCACATTTAACAACTGATTTGATCAAACGAAAAGACAAAAAAAATCTGTTGGCTCATGCATGTTTGCCCACAGTGCCCTCTCTTTTATATGCTCTCACTCCCTTTTTATAAGTCTTTTTGTTTTATTAAATCAGTGGTTAGATGCACTTTGCCTGTGCCGCCTCTGTTTTTCGTGTTCTCAATTTTGCAGCACTGCCTTTTCATACAGGATGACGTATTTTTTCGAACACTCTTGCCATTATTTCAGCTATACCGTAATTACTCGAATCTAATGCGCACCTTTTTTCCGGTTAAGCGAGCTCATAAATCGCATGCATGTTAGAATCGAGTACGGAAAAAAAAAAAAATTAATACGGTCATTTCTGCCTATGTGTTTCCCATGTGCGGCACTTCGTACGTGTGCTGAGGAGTTCGTCATCTTGTAGTCTCGCAAATCGTTGTGTGCAAGTCTATAAGATGGGAGCATCAACACAGACATTTAAAGCTTTTGCCTTCGCAAATAAAATGAATAAATGTGTGTCAAATAACATTCACCCTTTCAATTCTTGGTAATACGACATGCTTGTACTTTCTGCCACAAATTCTGCACCTCGCTCTTGCATTTTTTTGTGAGAATTCTAGGTGTGACATCTGAAATTCCTTTTCTCTTAGAAAGGGCGAGTTTTCTGTTGTGCTGTAGAAAGCTGGGTCGAGAAAACTTGGTCCCTTTTACGCACTGTCCTGGCAAACAGACTAGGCAAAGAGGTGTCAGGAATAAAGTTTTCAATCAAAACACTAGAGGGAACCCTGGCGCTAGCGTCTATGGGAGCTGCAATGCGTGGCACTTAAGCCAGCGTGAAAATGGTGGGTAGTACACAAACTTGTTTAATCTTTGTACTTTCGGCTTCATTTGGCTTCATGTGGCTTGACGCTGCTTTCAATGGGCAAATTTTCAGCAGTTGCACCTCACCACATGAACCTTTTCGGCTCACCGATTCAAATTTGGTCATGAAGTTTACAACAGTATGTTCTTTTGTTTGAAACCAAAACACAACAACAAACAGAGCCGCAAGCACGTTTTGAGCCCACAAGCACGGAAGACTAGGGAAATTTGTGTACAACCCAGCATTCCGAAGGTGGCTGAACGATCGCAGTGCCAGAGTCCTCTGTAGTTAGTTTTTGGAAACTCTACGGTTTCAAAAGTGGGCAGTACAGACTATGCACAGTGTTGCTTACCCGATCAGGGCCACCCGGGGTAGTACATAGTGGGCCGCATAGCTCAGGCCCAGAGGGAAGGTGGCCCGACTTGCTGGCACTAGCGACAGTATGCGCATTGGGGCATCACTGGACGCAGGGGGCGCTAGTGGATCCAGTGTGCCAATGGAAAAAAGAAAGAAGAGAAGATCCGATACAGAATATGTGAGATTTAACGTCCCAAAACCGCTATATGATTATGAGAGATGTCGTAGTGGAGGACTCCGGAAATTCCTACCAACTTGGGGTTCTTTAACGTGCACCCAAATCTAAGTACACGAGCCTACAGCATTTCTGCCTCCATCGGAAATGCAGCCGCCCCAGTCGAGATTTGATCCCGCAACCTGCGGGTCAGCAGCCGAGTACCTTAGCCGCTAGACCACCATGGCGGGGCAAGATTTGATACAGATACACTCATGCCTCTGTATAACAAACACGGATATAGCGATTATCAGTTACATTGAAGTGAGTGAAAAACAGTTTAGTAATAAATGCAGAGTAAAGAATATACACTTATAGCAAATTTTCAGGTATAACAAAATATTTTCAAGACAGATGTGACTTATAGTGACGTTTGAGTGTACCTCCAAATCGTCGGAACACGAGCACATAATCCGCGTAAAGAGAGAGGGCAAATACGTGTTGTAGCGTCTCATTCATCTTCCCAGAGACTTAAGAGCATGACATGTAATATCACTTCTTTTCAAACCAAGCATTATCTTGAATTTTTTGTGGTGGTGTACTTTTCAAATTACTGCTTACGTATACTTCTTAGAATTTTTTCATAGCAATTAACTGTATTATACAAGACTAACGGTTTGCACGCATAACTTCTCACAACATTTTGCTGTATTGGATCAGTCACCAGTCACTTCGGCTCACAAACTTTTGAAAAGTGAAATGAAATTCCCTTGACTGATTGATTGATTGCGAGGTCAGCATTTTCAGGCACAAATTTTGTTCAAAGGTCTGCTAGATTACTGCCGATTCTTTTAAATATATAAAGAGATGCAGAAAAAGAAAACACTTTGGCATGGCACAATCTGACAAAGAAGAAAAAAAAAAGACTTGCTTTGCCAGACTACTTGTTTTAGAATAGTATGGATGGCGACTTGGGCATTTTTTCTCGAGCAAACAATCATCTATGTACCAGGTAGGCAACCAGAACCACACATCAGGAAAATCAACCAAACTGCAAAACTTCAGTTTTTTCAGTATGTTTCAGTTGATATAAAAGGCACTACAGATTCACATCCCTTAAGAGATAATAATTTTATGGGGTAATTTGAGATGAAGATAATTCAAGTATGGAAAATTTTTTAAAATGTTTAAATTTATAAAGCGCTATATTTATGCAGACTTATTTCAACTTTCTCGGTCAAATTTCATTTTTAGCAAGAAAGTGCCAAGCCCAATGAATTCCTTTGATAAAGAGAAGATGGCTGATAGCCAATAATCTTATGTATGTGAAACGCTTCATATTAAGATACCATTCACAGGTTCAGGTATAACCGATGGATCGAATTAATCCAAGTAAACATGACAAATTCATGATGTTTTCTAAACAGTTATCTTGCCAAAGCAGTAAAGAAAACAAAGCGAGGCCGATTTGAGTTGCACAGCGTGGACTAAAAAAGAACAAGTTACGAACAGAAGACAGCACAGAGGCTTAGCAGTTACCGTACTTGACTGCCGACCCAAAGGCTAATTGAAGGATAGAATCCCGGCCGCATCAGCAACACAGACTGCAGTTCGATTGAGGAAAGATGCTAGAGGCCTGTGTGCTTAGATTTGGGTTCACAATAAAGAAACCCAAGCGGTTGAACTTTGCAGTGCTCTCCCCAATGGCATCTCTCACCACCACCCATTGTGGTTTTCACAACTAAAAGTACAACGATTACGATTACGATTACACTTCCTCTGAGGTAGTCGACTGTTGTTGAGTCACTTACCGATTCCAAACCTCTGAAGTACAGATGTAACTGTGGAGAGGGCTGTGTTGACAAGGGGCATTTGCCTGCCTTCACCCCACTGCAGCAGGTGAGACGAAAAAAAAAACAAAACGTTTTTGGCACATGGGCAACATGTTGCACGTACATCATGATGTGAATACATTAACTAAACACATCAGTGCAAGAGAAAGCAGACAATACATACTGATAGTTTTTTTTTGTGGGCTGTAAGTTCATTAACGCAATTCATGTAATGGCATCAGTCACATGCACATCTGATACATATAACTGTATAAGAGATGGCTAGTGTGGCCGTCGGTAAGTTGCATGCATGAAATGTAGGCAGAAAAGGAGGGACAAAACAACTAAAGAATTAAAAAACTTACTCCTAGATGTGCTAAGTGTTGAAAAAGTAACTGCGCGGCTAAGCGTGCCTACAAGTAAACCTGTTACAGGAGGTAGTTTACGCGACTTTAAGGTTAAACATGCGCACAAGCAACTATGCCCCCCCCCCCTTCCAAAAATGCTATTCTCGATGAAATGACGCTTGCGAGCAGGAGGAAAGTTGCAATCGGGGAGAGAGTCATTCTTTTTACTGCGTTATACTAAAACATCCGGACAAAACGAGACAGGACACAAATGTGCTTGACGTAATGCGTCTCACGTATTTTCGTTTTGTTGTGGGTCTTCAGCATAGTGCAGCGAAACAACGATGCTATACCAACTAGCTCCTATTGAACCTTTATTGTCGGGGAGGAAAATACGAGATAACTGAAAGACAACCAGCAAACTACAGTTGACTGACCTTTCTACTAAGCAGTCTGAAAGTTTGGGTGCTTGTTGTTAGCTGCCTATGCAGCATTCTTATAAACTGTACCATTGCATTAAAAAAGAAACATCAAAACTCGGTCTTCGTAGAAAAATTTGGACCATCTCCTCGAAGAAAACCCTGATGGGATGCGAAGCAGTAGCGTTGCCCACGGGTGGCGTCATGAGTTAAATGGCGCTAACCCTAGTGCTGCGGTGAGCGCTGGAAGATTCATTTGAAACTATGACTGGCGTAGGCCTTGTAGGTGACACGTACAGACATGTTTCGACGTTTACGTTAGGCGCACGTCAGGTTTAGGTGCACGTGAACTGACGAGTCGGCCGTGTAGCGGGCGGTGGTCACGGCAGCTGCGGACACCGCGGCCAGTGCACGGCAGATGAGGGAGAGAGTGACGTCAGCACGCACTGCGAGGGGAGCCTGACGTCAATGCGCAGCAGCGACGTGACTTACTTGGCGCGGCGCCAACACTTGCGGCGCACGGCAAGGGACAGCATTGTACAGGTTAGCCAAAAAGCTGCTTTGCATCTAATTAGCCAGAAAACAGTGCCAACCAGTGGTCAAAGCTGTTGAGAGACAAATATACTGCAATGCGCACAGCGGAGTATTTACAATTCTGCATAAAAAAGAGTCAAGGATTTTTTGCTTTATCCGTCATAATGTTGTTCCAACTATGCAGCAAATCGCTGCCTGCCGAGGATTATTGTTCAAGACCATGTGCTCCATTACGAAGGCGTCCATAAAAATCTGTTTGCCAACTGAGTGATCACTCACGGAGCGATCAGTGTCGCGCGTGTCTAGTATATACAAGCAAAAAATAGAAAAAGGAAGCCAGACTGCAATGCAACAATAAAGCAATGCAGTTGCAGTATCCACGCTGACACATTAAAGAACTCACGAGGCTCTTGTTGAGGGCATCCACGAAGCTGTCCTCAGGCAACTGCATCAACTTGTCAGCCAGGTCCGATCTCACTGTCCACACCAAGGAAGAGTGTTCTGAATCGAGCTGCAAGAGGCAGGCTTTGAGTCTACACACTTGCTCAATTGTTACCAAGCTTGCTCTGTCATCATGTGCACTCGTTACTGCACAGTGCCACATTTCAGTAAATAATGCAGCAGCTATAGAGTAAATTAATGATTGAACTTTTCGCTGGCAGCTTTGTGTCCATAAAAATGAAAGAGCACTTCAAAGCACAACAATGGAAAGATAGGACAATTGTGAGTCTACAGGTCAAATGAGTCATTGTACTCATACACGAGTCATTGCACAATGCAGTCTCATCGACTGGCACTGGTTTACGTCCCAGAATGTACACCACTGTTCACACTGTGCAAGCAATTTAAATATAGACAATATTTCAGAATCACAATAATATTCCATGAGTTTCAAGTATCTAAAGGCTGGTACTGAACCAAGCTGTGACAGCTAAGCAGTTTTTAGCCAGGGGGGTGGTTGTGCGAGGTCAGAAGGAATGCATAAACATTACACATGCCAACATGGCCAAAATCATCGCAAATGCTACGCCAATTGTTTATAGGAACCCCACATTACAAGCTACACGTTGCGTAGTGGGCAGTGACCTGCCCACTATTTAACAGTAAAAAGAATACCACTAGTGACGAACATAATGGGTCAGTGAACAGTGTTGTAGGTGGTGTTGCTGCCTAACGAGAAACTGGACAGCCAGAGTACTAAGCCTTTTCTAATTGATCACGTCTGATGTTTGCAAGTCCGGAAAAGTTCAAGTCTTGAACATACTGCATTAATAGAGCCAACGCCTCGACAAGTGATTTTGCCTTCTTCAAGGCTGTTGGAGTAGCAATTTTGAGACAAGACTGCTTGTCGAAAGATTGGCTTTGATAACAGCCCGCGTTCAAGAATTTTTCATCGCTTCAAGCTGCCATCTTCCCCTAACCTTATGCCTCTATTTGGAGGTGTAAGTTTGAGAAGAGGTATAAGTACTTATACCTCCAACCTAGTTGGAGGTATAAGTATAAGGAGGAAAAACTTCCAGTACTATGCCTGAAAAGTACGTGGATGCAACATGAAGACGTGACAAGGCATTCACAACTGCTCAATTGCTCGAACCCCACTGCCAACTGCTGCACCATGTACCCGTGGAATTTGCTTGCGCTGCACAATGTTTGTTAACTAGGTTGTTTGTGGAATAACATAAATGAGCAAGCACAGGACTAAGATTCTGTTGTCAGTGCACGCTAAGCTTTATGCAAGTACCCATCTCCCAGTGCTTCACTATATACACAGAGGAAACGAATAGTGGCTCATTGTCAGAAAAGAATGTGAGACATTACATGTACACTTGGCATCAAAAGGTTAGAGTTCCTTAGGACCAAGACTCAACAGGACTAAGACTCAACCTCATCATAAAAAGTTGCATTTTAAATAAAAATAGGTTTCTTACGTCTAAATATTCACTATAAATGTTTATTGTAACACTATACCTATTGCAAGACTATTCTTAACTTCGTTATAAGCGATACTTTATTACATCTCACTTCGTTATATTAAGGTATGTACCTGCTAATTTGTGAGTGAATTTAATTCAACTACACAATACAACAAAAGCTTCAGTTAATTCAAACTTACAGCTGATTCAAACTGACGCCCTGGTCCCGTCACGGTCCTGTGGATTTTTATCAGGGGAAAACTCCTTATAATTCAAATATGTCGCTATCCACAACGGTTAACTCGAACTGTGAGCCCCTGAATTTCATCGCGTCTCACAGAAGTTTTACTAGAGATATGAAACAGCAGTACTTCCCAGCAGATGAGAATACTGACACTGTGCTGGAGCGCTCAGGTAAGCTGCAAACAATAGTCATGGAGTCACGACAGAAGCAACGTGTGCAAATGAAAATTTTTAATTACTTTTAACTTTGATTGCAGTAACTCTGCCATGTAGATAAATGTGTTATTATTAATGCATGCCTTCTTGTTTCTGGCATATTATTGATTGAACAATATCATTCCCTGTTAGTGCTTGGTGAAATTCATTTATGAAATCACCTGCCCTAAACATACAGTTGTGCCTAATTCACAATAATGTATCTAGAAGTGGCTTGTTTGAGTTCTGCTTATGCAGTGTGGCGCATTAATTCTAGTGCCTGCTCACTTATTCAAACTCTGCCTAACTAAACAACTTTACGCTCCCCTTCAAGTTCGAATTAACGAGCTTTCCCTGTACATGCTAGCGTGTTTTAGAATAGGCTGAAAATCTAAATACAAGAAATTCTGTCAAGGAAGAGGGAACGTTCAGGTTTTTCTTTTGCCTCAGGGTACTTGAGCTTGCGATGCTGACTGCGCACAATAAACTCAAAAAGTCGCCCCAAGCTTCTCCTTGTCTTCCTCCACGAGCAAGCAATTATACCAAGAGAAAAGTTTGCCTTTGCAAGTTTAAAGAAATGCGCAAAATCATGTCTAGAGTGTTGTGCGTGCTAGAGTCGAGTTGTGCGAACAGCTAGAACAACAGACCACAGTGTGGTTGACTCACTGGCAGAAGGGCCACCACCCCGTTAGGCAGGAACCGTTGCCAGGCCACTGTATTGTCCACGGGCTAAAGCAGGAAGGGAGAGAAGGAAAGTGGGGGCAGTTCAGATACCAAGCAAGATCCGTCACTCAAAAGGGCAGTCTCCCAAATTGAGTTTGCGAAACTGGGTACAGCTGTGATGGCTACCAAGAGATGAAAGTAAAACTTCGCCAGGAGTCTGAACTACAAGGATTACAGAACGAGTTATGCTCAAAGCACGACAGGTCAACACTTCCAATAATGGTTCCTGTATGAAAGGCTGGAAAGCATAAAGTTTCATTAACCCTTTTACTGGCAATCCTGAGGCAACTCTGGCGACAGCACATGCGCGAGCCCTACCAATCCCGAGTATTCTCGTTTTGCCTCTTTAAATCACTCCCTGCCACTTAGGAGACAGCTTAAAAAAAATAATTATGTGGGTGTGTCTTGCCGTCTATGGAGAAAACATACCAAGAAATATAACTTGCAGTGAAATTTTGGACAACAAAAAAGTGCACAATTGCACATAAGTGTTGACCCGAATCGCTTTGCCAGCGCCATGGGCGCACGCTATTTGATAGAAGAAGGAATTCAGGAGCACATGACTAATTTGGGCTCCAAACAAAATGGGTGATTAGTGCCTCAGTGGCTCTCAAATAGTCAGTAACCATAAATAAAAAATTATTTTGTTCATCCATTCATTGATTGTAATGAGCACTACTTCTATTTTGCTGACATAATTTCTAATAAATATGTTTACATCACTTTAACAGTATCTTACTGCATTGCTAACAGAAAATTTGCTGACAGAAACCCAACGTAATGTGTGCAGCACTGAGACGGTTAAGTATGACACTACACTCGTGAATGTAGTGGAGGGCAAAATGCTGTGGAAGTTTTCTATGTTACATAATTTTTGAAATCGATCATGAGTACCTAACGCCCAAACAGACCGTTCGGCTGGAAAAACGAGGCAGTAAATCTGAAGTTACAGCCGTCCACTTTGCATCCATCATCTCATCCTAATGCCTAGCGCAATCTCATTGTCTAGCTGCGGCAACAAACTAGGGTGCATAACTCGGGCTTCTAGATATTTATTCTAGTTCAGCACACTACTGTACTTAATGAAGTTTCACTGCCTTATGGCGCGTCATTGTTAACGCTACACTAAAACTGTCGCAATAACATTCCACACAGACTCGGTAATGTGTAATATACTAGCGTTATTGTGAGTGTTTTAGCCTGAACTAAAGCTTCCTTGTTCAGAAAAATCCAGGATGGCTGGTACAGCGATAGGTGGCAGTGTTGTAGCGTGCCCTCACTTACCTCGCACAGCTTCACGGTGGCAATGATGGACTTTCTGGTTGTAGTTCCAGTGGAGGCACCGGACGGCCATGCTCTTGCGAACTTGTGAGTTGAAGCCGTCCGCTCCCACCTGCGATTCAATGCAACTGTGACAGTGCGTGCAGTCGTCAGCTGCTTAACTTCTTTGACTGTTACTAGGTTCGCTCGCACGTTATACTGTCCGACATGTTTAGGTACGTGTGCTACGCTCCGCAAACTATGGTGACGGTGCTGAGCAATCACCGAGTGCTTCAGGCAACTTAAGACAAAGTTAAAAAAGTACACTGTGTTATTCTGTGACAACAGGACCAAATGCATGTTACTTAATATCGCATGGAGTAAGTTACACAACATTCTGTGTTCTGCTTAATTACCTAAAATTAACTAACCGACTTCCACCGACTGGGCGAAAAAATTCAAATGAGAAAGTGGTATATTGGTCTGCTAAATGCTTGATGAGAGACAGTTCCCAACTTTTTTATTTATGACGTATTGTCGTACTTAGGCTCACTGCAAATGTCCAAGAAGTGCAAATACATACAATGTGACATTTTTGGTTGCGTGCTGTGATTGCTGTGCTCTGTAACATTTTCTACATTGTACAGACTTATTTTCCAAAATCTTGTTTGTGTGCACTGTGGGTCGATCCTTGCTGACTGTGATTACACCTTACGGCATATGCTGGAGTGGGCACCTGAAAGTTACACCAGCGCAAGGATTCTTAGGAAAGCAATTCACATAAGGAAGGGAACACCAAATCGCTTAACCTCTTTTAATTTTAGCACATGTCGCACAGCAGTTACCTAATATGTAGGCTTTTGTAAATATGATAGTTCTGATTTGAGAAAGAAGTGTAAATTTGAACGCTCATTTTTTTTTGTTAGACACAATATTAATGAGAAATAACAGGCCATCATGCCAAAGAAAGCATAAGAGATGTTGCTGACAGTAATTGGAATGTAAATGCGAAGAAAAAAAAAAGTAGGCAAAAAGATAACTTGCCACCGGCAGGATCCGAACCTGCGACCTTCGAATAATGCGTCTGATGCTTTACCACTGAGCTATGATGGTAGATCATCGGATTTTTTATTCGAAAATCGCAGGTTCGGGTTCTGTCGGTGGCAATTAATATTTTCGTGCACTTTTCCTTCTTCATATTAAATTACCTTTACAACTAAAACCATCCCCTATACTTCTTTTACCATCATTGCCTGTTAGTTCTAATGAATACCGTACTTACTCGCATAATAGGTGCACTTCGAGTTTGGTCGCTAGGAATTAGATTTTTTATTTACGCGCATTATAGGCGCCCCTTGAACTTGGCCATCATCAGTAGCTCTGTATGTATTTGCACGGTGGCAATTGGACGCCCTCATACGTTAACTGAAGCATGAAAAGAAAAAGCGAAAAGACCGTGCCAGGTCAACGAGCTCGCCGAGTGAAGAAGTACGGTGGTTGCCTAGGTGTCAGAGTAACCTTTGCACCGGCATGGCTCTGGCCGCTAGCCGGCCATGCGCGTTTCACTTAGAACATGCGATCACGTCCTCGTCGAGTGCACATTGAATTTTCTGTCAGAAAAAGCGTCGTTATCGCGTTTGGTATCTCGTCCACAAATTTAAATGCTTTTCGGCTTTGCGAACTTCACCTTTACTGCCACTAGCTGACTTGCACAAGCTCGACAGACTTTCGTTGCCGTTGATTTTCCAGCCACGAACCTATAGATTGTGTAATGCGTGCTGCTCTTGCATCAGTGCTTGAATGCGATCATTTCAACACCCAATCTTCAAGTGTGCAAACTTCCCACAACATGCCAAACCTTAGGCTAGACCTAATCATTTTTGGTGCTTATCGGTGGTGGTCGTGGGCGTTCATTCTTGCGTTTTTTGTACGAAATCAACGTAACTCTTTTGGTGGCTCTACTTGAAGGAAAGGGGGCTTAGGCGAAGCTTGTGACCACCGAATGGCGGTTTGCGATTCAATCGCAATGTCTTGTATATGAAGTGCAAGCCCCTGAAATTGAACGATTGGTGCGGTTAAGCGCAAAAACTTTAGGCTGCGATAATTGCACATAATCTAGACGAGCTGAAATTTACGCGAAGGCCTTTTTTTTTTCAGTTTTTTTTTGCGCTCTTTTCATTGGCAACGCGGGTCATTCGATATGTTAATTTCTGAAAATTGAAGGCACAACGCATCGCATCCCTCAATTTTCGGATGTGTGAGATTGTATGTTCGACATGTTTTGCGCTTGTGTGGCCTACAAAGCGCAAAAACTTTAGGCTGCGATAATTGCACATAATCTAGACGAGCTGAAACGTTATCTGCGAATTTACGCGAAGGCGCTTTTTTTTTTCAGTTTTTTTTGCGCTCTTTTCATTGGCAACGCGGGTCATTCGATATGTTAAATTTCTGAAAATTGAAGGCACAACGCATCGCATCCCTCAATTTTCGGATGTGTGAGATTGTATGTTCGACATGTTTTGCGCTTGTGTGGCCTACAAAGAAGGTTGTTTCAGCTGTAGTGCAAATATTTATGACTTCGACAACGTATATGTTATAAATGGTATATGCCATAGTTAAACAATAAATTTTGAGAAAACTTTACGCCATGTAATAGGTGCACACTGAACTTGGAGCCTGATTTTTAGGAAAAAAGGTGCACCTATTACGCAAGTAAATACGGTATTTCTGGTTTAAAACGAATAGGGAATTCTGAAGTGAATTCGATAGTAGCGGGATTCAAATAGTAGTAGGGCAAAAAATCATAAAGGCTAAAAATATTAGGTTTTAAAATTTCAAATACATAGTCCATACAAGCCTGTACAACTAAATTCTAAATTAAAGGTCTTAAATAAAAAAATTTGGTTGCAATGGCAATATGCACATTTAATGTTAAAGCGTGGCTCTATGGCTGCGCATATTTTCTCTGAGTGGGTGGTTTCATGGCATTGCAAATCCATGCTGTGCAAAAGAGCAGTTTTAAGTGGGCCATGTGAGGTAGTTTGCTTATTTGTTCTTTCAGGCCTTTTAAAATACCCGAAATTTCAAATTCATGTCAGAGCAGGTTCAAACACTCTCAAAGTCTGAATTTGCATGCAGGCCTACTGTATAAAAATTAGTGCACATATAAGCGCTGGCTGTAAGTGCTTCAGGACGGCAATGACCACCATTTGAGAAAACGTAGCTCGAAAATCGTTCTTCAATGCAGACAGTCCCAGCTGTAACACCCGAAACACATCCAGCAACCAGAGCTTACCAATAGGAAGGCTTCTAGCGGCTTGTCTTCTCCCAGAACCTGGATTCTGACCGGCGGGCAAGGGTCTATCGGGTCATACCTCTCCAATGTCGGTAGCTCATAGTTAACCACCTGCGAAAAAAAAAAAAGAAGCAGAGGACAGGGCATTAAGATTGCTGCAATCTTGGATTCACACAACTGTGAAGAATTGGCTAACAATACTATTGTTTGTTTGAATGTAAATGCTAGTATACCATTTGAGGAATGATATTACGAACAAGCACCTATAACAGAGTCACTTCGCAAAATAAGCACGGCTAAGCCTCAATTGTACATTGTGAACAGTGTAACAGGGTAAACTGTTGCGAGTGATCCAGTCTGAAAACTTTTGTATAATGCATATCAGGACTACTTGGCTTACTGTCTCAACAGCGGGGGTCAGCCAGTTTTGCACTTAAGGGGATAGTGAACAAAACTTTTGTTGCCAAGACTTTCAGCCGAATTGTAAGATTGGGTGTTAAAATCGACAGACACAACTTCCATTTAAGGTGAAAATAATAAATTTAATTAGTTTTGACGAACCACTGTATCTAGCAGCTATGCTGTGAACTGGAGGAGGTGAGGTTTGACGATGTTACACCCGCTGGAAACAAGCATCCCAACAATGCCATCGCTCGCCCGTGTTTCTCAACCCTCTCAGCTCCCACTACGGTTCCCATACCCACTACGATAGTGAACAATACTCCCAGCCGGGGTACAGCATCAACACTTTTGTAGAAGATGAAGAGTGGGGTGAAAGGAGAGGTGGAGAAAATGGTGAGAAGGACAGCAAAATGTGCACCCGGCATTTGCTTTGGGAAATGTGACATCATGGCTGGCCCTTGCGCTCACGTGCAGCTTTTGAGCACTGACAATCCACCAAAAACACAATCAACTATCCAAAAATACATGAAATAAACTCTGTTTATCGAAAAGTGGTGCCTTTAAAGTAAAATTTTGATGTTTTCAACAGTTTTTAAAAATATTTTAGTATCACTTTGAAAAATACGAATTTGCTTCCCAGACATCACTGGGAAAATTCTGTTATCAGGTGAGTATCTCCCACTAACAATTCAGATATCAGCTAAGTTCTTAATAATAACTGTTAGGGTTTAATGTCCCCAAAACCACCATATGATTATGAGAAACACCGTAGCGGAGGGCTTCGGAAATTTTGACCAATAGGGTTCTTTAATGTGCACCCAAATCTAAGCACACGGGCCTACAGAATTTCTGCCTCCATCGAAAATACAGACGCCGTGGCCTGGATTCGATCCCTGTGTTTGCAGGTCAGCAGCCGAGTGCCTAAGCCTCTAAACCACCGTGATGGGTCTGAGCTAAGTTCTTCAGAATAATTATAAAATGCCACGAGTTGAAGTAAGAGAAAAAAAGGGGAGGAGGTATTAGAAAAGTGTGGCACGTTTTTCTTTCTTTGCTGCTTTAATGTACTAATGTGTGCTTTATGGTCCACACCCTGGAAGACTTCAAGATGCGGTTGTCAACGTCAACTACAGCTAATACTGCTGTAGGCCATCTCTGCCCAATCCCTCGACAAGCAAGTCAGCGATAGGTCAGGGACCTATTGGAAAAGTTGTCAGCAACAGCAACAGAAAAAAAGAAAGAGAGAGAGGTTGTTCACATGGTGGAAAGCTTTGCATAAAGATATGCTGCAACTCAGCAGCACATATGAGTGGCTTTTGGGCAAGAACGCAATATGCAATGTATTTTGATTTAGGAAGTCAAGAAACTGCAGGCATAAAAACCATCGTGAGAGCGCAACTAAACATGACAGACAGGAAAAGACAGACGAGAACAGGCTCAAACTACCAATTGTAATGAGTTGGTGGTTTGCGCCTGTCCTCGTCTGTCTCTTCCTGTGTGTTGTGTTTAGTTGCACTCTCACAATGGTTTTCATGTCAAAGCACCAACTTGCCCCACAGTCAACTCTTTTGAAATTGCAGGCCGTTAACCTTGGCACTGAGCCCAGCCGTGTCAAGGCATTTTTTTCGAACATGCTGGATGAAGTATTCCCGACTTTCAACGCTGTGTGCAAGACGACCTTCGCATACACCTACACAGAATGGAATTCATCAATTGATCAAAAACTTAATTCTAAAAAATAAACAAGTTGGCCCATCAGAGACATGAAAAAACTATGATGGTTTCATACACACAAGCAAAATGAAGTCGGCATATATGCATGCAACATTTTATCCCTTTCAATTCAGCCTCAAATACTAAACCTCCATCAGTGAATTATTTCAGTCTATAAAAAATAACCGCGCCTACCTTGACTCCAGGGACGACACGCACCACCTGTGACGGTAGTTGTGCCAGCCTTCGATAGAGCGCATCAGCCAGGTTGCCCATGTCTACATCGAATGCGATTTCGTTGGCCAGCGTGCGCCCGAAGAATGCGATGGAGGCAGTGGAGTGGGACTCCCAAACCTGCAAGTGAATTCTTAGCTTCACATATTTATTTATTTAAAAACTCTCAACTTCACTTGCGGCATTACAGAAAGGAGTGGTGTTGCAAGTCAGATTGCTAGGCAGGTTGCTAATCATTCCGGATTAATCTTGTGTCCCTTCCGTAGTGTTCAGATGCCACAGAATATTACTGTAGTATAAGATTTATCTGGCGAATGTAGACGCACTAGAGACAGTGACTACAATGACATTATCAAAATGTTGCTTACAGTGACATTACTAGTACAATGAAGGAAAGATGTGGAAACTTGAAGGGCTAATTTTTTTTTTTTTTGCTAGACACAATATTACCAAAAACTAATAGACAACACTGCCACGGAAAGTATAGGGGACACCATTAGTAGTAAATACAATGTAAAGGTGTGCAAAGGTGTGCAAGATGTGCAATGTGAATGCGTGTTGCAAGAGTTTAATCACTTCAGGCCCCACCAAGAAAAAAATTCAATTGTTGATCTTCATGCGATCATTACAATACATCAATTATGGAGCACACTGCAACAGGGTACTTTGAATCAATTTTGACCCCTTGGGAGTCGTTTAATCAACATACATTAGTGAATAGACATTTTTGTATTTTGCCCGCACACAGATGCCGTTCCTTAGAATCCAGACCTGTCCTCAAGTTTAGCAGCACGATATATTTTCCACCAAGCTACTAATGTGGGCTGCTTTGCTTGAACATCTGTCTTGTAAATAATTATCTGGTAGTACCTGCATAACACCAGGTTTTTCAACAGTCAGAAGTTGTTCACTGAACACAGCACAAGCAAGTATCAAACACCACTTGCTTTAAGCAAACTATATTTCATAATTGCAGAAGTCATGATCATCTGTGATCAGTATAACGAAATTCCAGTTGATGTTTCTTCTCATTGTACATGCTAAGAGAGCTATGTCATATTTGCAAGAGTACACCACAGCTACAAGGCAAAGCATCACTTTTTATGTTGACTGTGTTTCATTGCATGAAGCTTTATTGCTTACTGAGGTGTCACACTCAAAAGTGTATTTATTTCACCTGTTCACAAATGCAGTAATATATTACCACATATAATTACATTTGTTTTATACGTAGTTTTAAAATTTATGTTCCTCTGTATAAATAGGCTGTTTCCTGATGTGTTTTCTAATTCTTCTATTTGTTATAATATTTGAGTGCACGTGCATCCCCTTATAAACTGCCTACAGGGGGCCTACACCATATTTCTAATATATCAGCTCATTTTAAGTAAACAGTACTCCTAGAGTTGGGTAGCCAGCAACATGAACTGGTTTCAAAAAATCCCACTAAAAATGCTCCAAAAAGTGCGCAGCTCTTCTGACATCAATCAAAACTGAGAAAAAGCAAAACAAGATAATACAGTTTGGACAGCGTTCATCTCCTTTCCTGGAGCATTCCAAGCAGGTTAGAAAACACCGAGAATGCGTGATCACAAAGTCTAACCAGACCTTGAGTTTAGGCTGTTCTCTTCATAATTCTAAAAGCAATCCTATGAACTGCACATTAACCAACTGTAACAGGGCCACCTGCTATGACTGTACTGATGCATTATACCTGTATTTGCTGGGGCTCGCCTTTTACACATGTTAGCATCACAGAAGGCGATTTTTGCATGCTGCGGCACAAGAAAACTGCGCTTCTACACATTGTATGCACAAGACGATACTATTACGAGTTGAACGAACGGCGTGGCATGAATGTCGCCTCACAACTATGAAAAGGGCCGGCTGAAAGGTACGGGCAAATGTTTTGCGGCCGGCAATTTTTCACAGCTGGCCGTCGATCACTGGCTCACGACCCTTCAAAAAGTCAGGCCACACTCACTCGCATTCGCTTGATGGTCTGCACTTTAGACTTGGGCAGCATGTCCCACACGCCCAGGGCTGTACAGAGAGTTTGGAGACCAAGAAAAAGATGAAAATGACCATTAAATCCTTTCAATCCGAATAGAGGGGAATACAATGAAAGAATCTCAAAGAAGCTGAAGTGCTGACTAAATCAATCAGCCGAGATAGCACACGTTTGCTGCAAAACATTTGGCATTTTTGTGGGTTGAATCATACAGCCTCACGCAGGGAATTTTTTGTCTGCAGGTTAGTTTTAAATGGAGAGCAACTATCGCAGAGGACAAAAAAAATGACATGAATAGCAGCAGCACTCACTCATTGAGGTCATAGATGCAGTTTAGAAAACTGTGACTAAAGAGAGGCACACACAGCTGCCAAGCTGCACGTTTCAAATAACAGCAAGAACAAAAAAGAGAGAGAGAGGGCAACTGCCAAGCATGAGGGAAGCGCAGAACTGCGTGGCATTTCTCGGTTCACGTTATTTCTCTTTCTTATTTTTGCATTTTTATCTAATTTTTGTCTTTTTTTCTGTGTTTTTCATTCCTGCTTATTTCTAGAAGGGTGTCTTGAAGGTTCAGTTGCTACATGATAGTAAGGAGAAACAGAGCAAGAACAGGACAAAGTGTTATGTGATAATTCTTTCTTCGTCCCGTCTTTGCGATGTTTCCCATGAGTGTCTCTTTCTAGTGCAAGATCCTGAGCAAGCCCCCCTTCTTTAAAGTGCAGGATAATTCGTGAAGATTTGGACAGGGGGGGGTCAAGGTTCCATATTTTGGCTCGGTCAAGAATCAAAATTCAAGATAGCGCCGAAACAGCTGCTGAGAATAAAGAATGCCCACCCATGCTTCTAATGAAATGCTTCACTGTATTCGCATGCATTCCCTGTTTTCATGCGATATTCTCGGGCAGATAAAAACAGATCGAAGGGGATAAGAGGCCGCAGATTTGGAATATCTCAAAGCAAGAAGGAGGGTGCTTGCTTTAGATCTTAACGTATATCTTTCTCTTTCTATTCCTTTCTCTGTTTTTCTATCTCTTTCTACTTTATTTTCTTTCTCTCTACCGCCCCCTTCTCTCTGTACTCATTCTCTTTCTCACATCCAAGTTACTGCAGCCCACGCCGTACAAATTGGCGCACTTGTTCTGAGAATGAATCAGAAGATGAAGAAGTAAATTAAGGTGAAAAATAGGACAAAGAGAGTGCACGCCGGTTCACGATAATAATATTATATTTTTATGTACATAGCATAAGAAAAAGCTTAACAGTTCTGCTGTAAAAAACAAAACACCTCTGCAGTTCATCATTCGAAACCAATGCATAAGCTTTCAAAAATTTCCCAGGGTGCGTGTTTACGCGAGAAGGGGGACGATGCTGAGGGGGCTCTTTACAAGTTTCCGCCTTTCAGTTTAGCCATGGTTATGGATGAATTGACGAGTTCCACGTTTATCGACAACGTTTATTTTGTCATCAGTGTACACTAGTACATTGTGCAAGAACAACAAACAGATACCAAGCACATGAGATAACTGTTCTTACAACTTAGTTTTCTATTTACGTTTTCCAGTATTAAAACATGTCCCGTCCAGGCATGCAACGTGGCTGTCAGTGCACATTACTCCATCTAAAATACAACAAAACGCTTCGACTACACGACTGCCATTTGCATCACTCTGCTACCTCCATTAAAGTATAACCAATGCTTACTATCTTCTGTGTACAATAAGATGAACACGAAAAGACCTTGGAACTGTGTTTGCTGAACCCATGACTTAATAGTAATGGTGACCAATTGTAAAAGAAAGTTATAGGCATTCACGCATAGACTACTTCAGGAGGCACAGTTCTGCTCTTCACGCATGCGCACCTTCATGCGAAACAGATGCTGTCCTTCATAACAAATGTTCTTTCCAAAGTGGCCATCACAGCCAAAGAGACGATTTCTGGAGCTCAGTACTGGGAATCATACCTTGTAAAAAGCTCCTGCTTCCTGGAGTCAACGCGTACACGCGGTTGCTCCAGTTCTCTTCGTCATGGTCAGAACGGAGTTGACGTCTGTCTATGAGCAGCACACGCTTGTTTGCAAACACCTCCGATGTTCCTGAGTGAACAAAAGACACGGTCGTGCGGTATTCGGATGACCAATAAATTGCGATCAAGGCAATCCATGAAACTTTTACTCACTCTTAGATATCTACGGGAGACGTCAGTTGAACACACCAAAGGGCACAACCATGGCAGTACTGAGTCAAGTAATGCTTATGAGTAATATGAATGCGTTTCTCTAGAGCCAAGTGCTGTAAGTCTTGAACAGTAACTAGTCACTAATAATGAATTACTGGTAACCAGTTACTTTTCAGGGTCTTTCAAAATGAATCTCGTCACTTTCCCATTCTAAATGCAATAAATTTTTTTTCGACAACAATGGCTATACTCTGTCTTACTCATTAGAACGAAATCAGTTGAGTAAAATGAATAATTATGGTTTATAGATGAACAAAAAATAAACAAAAGATTTACAATGCCATCACTTCATCAGCAGTAACTGTGACAAGTAGTTTCCCAGTTGAAGCTTGTAAGTACAACAAGATCACTTTTTTGCAGCAGGCTAAATGACTGTAATGCCATTGCTTCCTGACAGCGTTAACATGTTATATCCAGGTAACTCCTAACTGCAACAATGTTACTTTTCAGAGGGCACTAACAACCATTAGGTATCGAGCGTTTCAACCTCACCAAATATTGTGCGAGCATCACATCAGAAAGAATGGCATTCAGTGGTGTTCTCGCCAAAGTATAAACAAGTGTCACTTATCTAGCGCACTAAAGTTGGTTTTATGTCAGTCAGCCATAAAACAGGCTTTGACCGTTTGAGGTGAGCCTTTGGTGTTCTTCCTTTTTGGCCAAAGCCAGCACTGCCAGAGTCAGGGTCATCAAGAACATGATTCCCTCTCGGCTATGCAATAGCAGAATTGAAAATAAAGTCAACACAGTTAAATTGGCAGCAGAATGTCTGCTCATGCTGCCTGTCTGATGCTGGCTTGGTATACTATCCCATTACTGTTTTCCTTTATTTTATTATTTTTACTTTGAGAATACTGACATCTATTCAGAGATTATAGCAGGATAGGCACAAGAAAGATGTTACTTGTTTACATAAGATCACACAAAGTTAACGTGCTCTATTGCTATTATAAGAACACAATATTAAAACTACTTTAATAGGAATGAAATCATGGACGAGATGATCATTGGAAACAACTATAAAAACAGAAGCCACACATTTGTAACATGGCATACGTCAGCACCTACACATTTCTCGTAGAAAAAATGCATTATGAGAACAATTTTAAGAACAATAAATCAGAGTATGTCATTCAAAATAATAAAAAGAAAAAAGTTATGTTATTGTGACGTTACACAGACTCATCACTTAGCTGGTTTATTGATCTTTCAAAGACTTTAGCGCTACTTATGAAGCAAGCAGTTAATTTTTAATCGCTGTTGTAAACACGTGTAAGGCTGATTTGTCGGCTGCTGCAGGTTTCAAAGAGATCGTCTTTAATGTTTTAAGGAAAAAATTGAACATTCAAAAGCTTTTAGTGTTGGAGGAGTAGTCGGTCACCGAATGGGGAGTGCTTATTACGGTTTACTTTGCCAAGTGGGTGAGATATATACCCTTCAAAATCAATTTTGTCAATGTTGTGCAGTAGCTGGAACATAAGGCTTATTCTTAGTTTCGTTCGGTTTCGTAGTGTTAGTATGTGTTGGGCGAGTCTGCCAGGCTTTCAATGTTAAGAAGTACTGCAGTATCAAGTATCGCGTTCTCTCAGTTGTAGCTCTCACCCAAGGCACAAGCGAGAGCCGCTCCTGCGAGCCCGGCTCCCGAAATGACCACGTCCCAGCGCTGTTTCGTGAGCTCGGACGTATCGTCTTCATCGGCATCCAGGCAGGCTGGCGACGTTCTCAGCAGGCGGCGAGAACCCGGCGACATGAGGCGTCGGCAACGCCTAAGCAAGACGATCGACTGCATGACCGCGGCACTAAAGGATGCGACGCAGGTAGAAAGGTGATCGGCGACCTCACGGTCGATTTATTCGTGAACGGCTCGGAAAACTCGCAGCAACAAAAGTGATAACTGTTCAACACCACCTCCGACAAACGCTCCGTCACACTCCCGAGTTTGCTGTACCCATTCAATCGCTAACTATTAGCTATCACAACAAGAGAAGTACGCACGTTAACAAGACACCACCGTCTGCGAAGCATGCGACAACAAGTTTGGTTTCCGCACGGTTTCCGTTTCTGAACTCAGGGTCGCAGCGAACAAGTAACAGTAATAAATAGACAAATTAAAAACCACGTAAACATAATATTGTATATTGTGTATTTGCGTGTGAAATTGTACGTTATTCAGTAAAGTGAGTTAGTTTTATTGTAAACATAATCGCTGCGGTCCTGCAGCGCGTTGTTTTGTGAGTAGCCATGGCAACAAACCAGCGCCGGCGCGTTGGATGGTTTTGCGGCCGTTACCAACGTTACAAGTCGTTACAGTCGTCGCCACATACGCATGTTTCAAAATACTGAATTGCCGTTGTAATAATTCGTGAAGAGTGAATTTCGCTCAAAAGTGAAATCGGCGAAGCAAAGACGATGACGCCTGCACTGACAGCACGAGAAGGAGGAATATTGCGTCTTCCCAATCGCAGTGATGCCATCTGTGAGTTGTTCGATCACGTGTAATCAAAGTGGCGTAGAATGTAGCACAATATGAGAAGTGTAACTTTAGCTGCTGTTGAGGCAGTTTCTTCAGCTTGAAGAGATTGAACTCCGTGTGATGTTCTGCTCGTGAAAGCAAAACACCAACGTTTGATTATCCCACAAGAGCAGAGGAAAGCTGGGGAAAAATCAGAAACAAAATAGTAACCTCCGGCAAACATCTGTTGGCGAAGAAATCTCTGAGCGTATGCAATTAATCGGCTTCTGAAGAACATATTTACCGTCAACAAACAGCCTTTGTGGGGTATAGGCACTTTAAACGATGGTCACACATTTACAAGTCGTACATGTGGTCGGTAAAAAAAAAAATCGCATATACAGTGACTTATATAAAACTGCAAAGTAAGATAAATAATTGTACCGAATGATATAATTAGTTGCTGAGTGCATGTTTAAAAAGTGTCATTGGAAGTATATCCGTCAAGTGCGTGACATAAGAGCTCTTTATGTAGCCTGGATAGTATATACCTGGAAAGATCACCGTACAGCCCACGTCAAGAATTCTTGATTTTGGTTTCGCACAAGCAGGCGAGTGTCATGCCACACCGGCTCCGTATGAGCATACCTGATGAGATCAGCGACCAGCCGGCTGACCAACTAAATAATTAACAAACTAAATAGGATGGTAGCTGCTCAAATATGCTACCACAGTTGTTCTTTTTCAATTTTAACTCAAAATTTACGAACAAGCACGGACAGCCGGATATGCTAGCTGCAGCTTCTTTTTTCATCTCAGTCACTCACACCATGAGAAAGGTCTTGATAGATTTTGTTTTCTTTGATTTGCATGTCTCCTTAGCATTTTTTTTGTGTGGTCGCTAGCCAAATAACATATCTGAAGGGCTTTAACACAATTATAGAGTTGTTTGCCAAATCCGCCATATTCCACTGCAAACGACAACTGCGGTTTTATATTTAGGTAGAAATAACAATTAATCGCAGTAATTAGGATATGCATATATTTTAGCTGTAGCCTCAGAAACTTGAGTGTTCGGATACTTCGTGATGATCTCATGGTGGCGTAACAGTTTTCGGCGCGCGAGTTCTTATTAGAGCTATAACTAAATATTAACGCTAATTATGTCTAGATGCCCAAAAATTATGATAAGTCAAGATTTTCAAGATATCCTACCTGGTAAACGGTGATAACGCTGCTTTTCGCGGGTGGTTAGACACGCTATCGCCAGTAGGTGGTGTGTGTAAAGCGGGCTTTTTCCTGCGACAGAATGTACTGAAAAAAAGCCAGCTTTCAGTAGTGGTTTTTTGGAGAATGAGTCAATAATCTTTAAGGTCCGGCAGTTTCCTTCGGGCGAGAAAAATAGTCAGTTTGTGAGAGGTACAAGTACGGGGGGTATCAGGGAACCTAATACAGTTGTCTAAACAACTGAGTCATGGTGAGTTAACACATGTACCGACTTAAATCATTATTAATACCATTAGATCACAGGCCATTAAGTTTAAAGAAACCTTCGGACCCATGGCGAACAAGTGGTTGGCAGAAGTGTGGTGTAAAAACATTGAATTTTTTAGAAGGGATTGGCATCCTTGGCCGATACTAGCACGTTCAATTCTTTCGAAATTTAAGTGAGTATTGGATATTATGTTGACAATTATGTGACTGTTGGCGATATGGACTATATGTAACGGTCGCTCTTCAATATGTATTACATCCCTGTTACGTGCACATATATGTGATTCACGAAAACGTTGTTTTGAAATGTAATGCCTGGGGGCAAGGAAACAAGAGGGAGCATTTCGCAGTGCGATAGAAAGAAAAAAGTAGCGCGTCGGGCTTTGCTTGCACCCCATTTTCTTACCGGCGAAAGAGCTCTTAATTGTTTTTTAATGGTGACTAGCAATGCCTCCCAATGTGTACACGCAGTTTACAATGGAGGCCACACTTTCCTCGTTTCGGGAGAGGAGGCGCTGCTCGTCTCCGCTGAGCACCGTGGTGTCCGTGTCGTCGGCCTCTTCCTCATCCCTGGTGCGTTGCGCGTCCGAGTCGGCGCTGCCAGCGCTGCGGTGCTCCTCCAGCGTCCACGAACGACGCCCACCGCGGACGCAGGGCTTCGAGAGTCGACAGCTCGACGGACTCTTCGACGTCCACGGCAAGCCTGAACAACGAAGCAGGTTTGGACCAGTAGTTGCATCACTTGCAGGGTGCCTACACCTTTGCTGGTGGCATGCAGGGGGTCCACGGATTACAGTAGAACGGACAAGTACGCGAGCATCCGGCCTGTTCTGCGCACACTGACGGCCATTATGCGCACACCATCATACGTGACGTGACCGTTCCGCAGACTCTACATTGCATTACCGCCTAAATGACATGTGGGGCCAAGATTATATATACTTGCTCTAAACGTGGGGGCCAGAGTAAAATAATTGGGTACAACGTTTGCATGCACGGGACTAGGGTACATGCAGAGCTTTAAGTGTATGTATGTATGTATGTATGTATGTATGTATGTATGTATGTATGTATGTATGTATGTATGTATGTATGTATGTATGTATGTATGTATGTATGTATGTATGTATGTATGTATGTATGTATGTATGTATGTATGTATGTATGTATGTATGTATGTATGTATGTATGTATGTACGTACGTACGTACGTATGTACGTATGTACGTATGTACGTACGTACGTATGTATGTATGTATGTATGTATGTATGTGTGTATGTATGTATGTATGTATGTATGTATGTATGTATGTATGTATGTATGTATGTATGTATTTATTTATTTATTTATTTATTTATTTATTTATTAGAATACCCTCAGGGCCCGTAGGGCATTACAGAGAGGGTGGGTACAACATTTTGTAACACACAAGAAAAAAAAGACAAAGAAAAGAAACAAGTGTCAGATGCGCAAATCATGAAGGCAACGTAAATCAACTAAAAATGTATAAGTAAGAATTCAAGCACATACAAGACAAAGATAGATAATGGAAACTGCGTATAGTTACAAACATTGCTGAGAAATTGCTGTCTTGAATAACAAAGGGTCTGTTATTGTTACAACGGAAGAGGGAAGGTGGTTCCAATCGGCGGCTGTTTTCGGTAAGAAGGCTGCTGAAAAGAATTTGATGCGGCAAAACGGAATGGCAACCTTATGCTGGTGACCAATGCGCGATGAGTGGTATGACGGTTGTGAAATATGGTTGTATGTATGTACGTACGTATGTATGTATGTACGTACGTACGTATGTATGTATGTATGTATGTATGTATGTATGTATGTATGTATGTATGTATGTATGTATGTATGTATGTATGTATGTATGTATGTATGTATGTATGTATGTATGTATGTATGTATGTATGTATGTATGTATGTATGTATGTATGTATGTATGTATGTATGTATGTATGTATGCATGCATGTATGTATGTATGTATGTATGTATGTATGTATGTATGTATGTATGTATGTATGTATGTATGTATGTATGTATGTATGTATGTATGTATGTATGTATGTATGTATGTACGTACGTACGCGAATTCCGATCCCGTCGGAAGAGCAGTGATATACCTTTTCCGCGCTCAGACGCAGGCAGCCGTCCCCGCAGCGTGGTGAGGATGCGTAGCGTGTCCTGTTCGCCCCGCTCGTCACCGGCGTCTTCGGATGCGACGGACTACCCGGGCGCTCCTCGACCTGCGCTCATCGTCAAGATGAACGCGTGCACCATTCTCAGACAGAGGGAGCTGGCGTGAGTGCACTTGTAGCAGCGATGCTGCATGTGGCTAGAAGGTGCTGGCGGTCTGTCAGTGCGAAATTTTTAAAAACCTTTTTTGTTCGCATAAACTGCAACCTTTTGTGACTGACGTTACGATCGAATGTCTATGAAGGAGTGAAATTCCCATAAGTTGCTTCCTATGATCTGGAGACCATTTTTAACGCGATTGGAATAGTTAGAATGACGTGCAGTGGGCTTCGAAGCAGTTATATGAAACTCCATGCGAGCATGAATTCAACTCATGTTGGGGCGGTACAGACGAAATAGAAGATCACGTCAAGCTATACGGTGAGTCGCCAGAATTAGAAGACAGAGAGGACAAATGCTATTAATTGGTGTTAAAGGGAATCAAAAAAGGCACACGACCAAGCACACGATCAGTGCCATCTGTCGCGTAAACCATTGAATAACGAACGCATTCAATGTCTTCATGTTGCAGTATTTGCGCGGACGACAAAGTACTATTACCCAGTCCCATTTGATATGTTTTTGCACTGCCCATTGCCGCGTGCAGTCTTGTCAAAATAAAAAAAAATAGTGTGTAAAAGGTAGTGGCAAGCTGTTTTAACTTGATAGGGCGGCAAGGCACGTCCGAAGAAATGCCATATTTGCGAAATTTGGATGGTAATCACTGCATGTTTGTCCGTTCATTGCCTAAAAACTTCATTAAATTCAGTTCAATGGCAATAAAGTTTCATGAATTCGACTCGATAACACTGAACCTGATGCAGGGGTGAAGTGCTGCTCCAATCACTCCAAACGGCACCAAAAGTGAAATCCTGCTTTTACATATGCTGCTCCGAACTGCAATTTTGTTAGTGACAGCTCCAAATCAACTCCAAAACTGCACTTACGAGGAACTTTAACGGTGCAATTAACTCACAAGTCCTAAGAAAAAAAAAACTAAAAGAATATGCTACCCTCTCGGTATGCTACTTTTGCGCTTCTTTATTGGCTCTGACCTTATGTAGCACGAACTTGCTTACCAAGCGTATATCTC